ATATATATACCATGGAATACTACACAGCCATAAAAATGAATAGAATCATGTCCTTTGCAACCACATAGATGGAATGGGAGGTTATTTTTCTAACCAAATTAAAGCAGAAACAAAACCAAATACTGCATGTTTTTGCTTATAAGTAGGAGCTAAACAGGTGGTACATATTGACACAAATATGGGGAAAGTAGACCCTGAAAACTACAAGGAGGGGAGAAAGAGGGAAAAGGGTTGAAAAACTACCTATTGGATTCTATGCTTACTACCTGGTTGATGGGTTCAACTGTACCCCAAACCCTAGCATAACACAATATATCCTTGTAACAAACCTCTACATGTACCCCTCAATACAAAATAAAATCATTTTTTAAATAGGCAGTATACCCATTATGATTTAATACATGTTCCATAAAGTTAAAATTGGTTTTCCAGGCTTCTTTCATTAAATTCTAAATTCTTATTTCAAGAACGCGTATTTTATTAGTCTGTTGTTGATTCTCAAGGCAATATCACAGTAATTTTAATTAGTATTCATTTAGAATGTGCTTTAAAATATACTAAAATTAGTTTCTAACTTCAAGGAAAATAATATATATTTTGCTTTCTGCAGGCAATATATTAATAAAACTGCACATTGCATTGATCTTAATACCTAGCTGTATCTGACATAATCTACGAGAACCCAATAAAATAATTGTATGTAATTTCCTTTTGTAATGGAATCATCATTTCAAAGTGTATTTAAAAAATTAATTTTGTGAGCAATATTGATATTTTATTAAATGGAACCACATATCTACTCTTTGTTAAAGATACTACATAAATTTGGGGAAAGTAGATATTTAAGAGAAAAAGTTCTTTTATGCTTTCATCTGTTCATGAGCATCTTAATTTTATTTATATATTCATAAAATAAGGGAAGCAGAGACAAACTTATGCAGAAATTTTAGGTTCAAGCAAACCAGAAAGCAGTTACAGAATAAGCACGAGTATGCAAATAATTTACATTCACTTTTATTACATATACATAAACACGTGTAGGTGTAGCTCATGCACACCTACATTTAGTTCTAATGATATTATTTGGATATCTTTAAAATAGACAAGATGATATATTTCCCAAATCTAAAAGCAAGAAATACCAGAGAAGACTTCATTCTATTTCTAGTTTTGCCCAATCGATTTTCTTTATATCTACTAGTTAGGGAGCAATATTCTGCCTAGCGGCAAACAAAGCATATAACCTGATACTTCTTTATACTAACATATTCAAAAGAATATGCAAAATATTTAACAATAACATTGTCATCACAGTACTCAAAGAAAATAATTTTCACTAGTATTAGGAATTTCATAGAGAAAAATTAGCAACTCTCACTTCTATTTATTATGCTCATTTTTCTCTATGAAATTCCTAATTTAAATGAAAATTATTTGCTTTGAGTACTGTGATAACAATGTTATTGCTAAATATTTTGCAATTCTTTTGAATATGTTGACAAACTCCTGCCATCCCAACAGTTTCTCAGTCATATATTCAGAAATTGAAGTGATAGTTTTAAATAGCTTTTTTAAATTATTGAGTGACTTATATTTCCTTGTTTTTTCAGGGAAAGATAACTCTATATATACTTCATGCCCTCATTGAACTTTCCCAAACTGTTCTTGTGTATTCAGATTTTGAAATCAAAACATATTTTTTACTTTTGTGAAATAGCAGAGTTTGCCTAACCAGTGTTCTGTACTCAGTAGAAAGGTATATAAAGAGATCATGATAATTATAAGAACATCTATGGATTCTGATTGCATGGGTACTGAAGCTGGTGTGATCTTAGGAATCTTAAGCAGCCAGAGAGTCAGGGCTCAGGATGGAGCATCTCCAAACTCACAAGGGATATGACATTTCTACATTTTGGAAGACAGACTAGACTATAAATTGCTCCTCCTAGAGGGACAGTGTACATTTATTTTTAAGCATAGAGTCTGAGTGGGGAAGAAATCTGATGGAGTAAAGATACTAATATTTATTGAATAAACTATGTGTTAGTTACTATACTAAACAGTAAATGATGTCTCATTTAATCATCAAAGTAACACTATGAGGTAGTCACCATGATAGATAGAATGTTCATACAGTTTATTTCCTATAATAGAATACTTTGGGGAATAAAATAAAATAGGTATTAATAACTAATCTCACAAAATAAACATGGGACTTTCTTGTGAAAACTGAAAATATGATCACCTTATTATAATCCATTATTACAAATAAGAAAACTAAGTTCCACACAAGTGAAGTATTGTCCCTAGGCTCTTCTGCTAGCATATGGCAGATTAGAACTCCAAACTTCTTGGAGTTAACAGTTTATGGAGTCAGCAGTTTGTCAAAAGCAATAATTGTGAAGATGTGTGATGGAAGATGAAATATTAATAACATTTTCACTCTACTCCTTCAATGAAATTCTTTACAAAATAGTAAAAAATATAATGAGACAGAGAAGAAACCATTACCTAAGGGACATAAAAGAAGCTTTTACCTTTAATTAAAATAAGATATGATCACAACTCCAAACCGCAACATATATAGAATTTCTGTAATGACAATAGCAGAAACGGCAAATGACTAGCCAGTTATCTCAGCACCATTTATTAAATAAGGAATCATTTTCCCATTGCTTGTTATTGATGGCTTTGTCAAAGTTCAGATGGTTGTAGATGTATGGCTTTATTTCTGGATACTCTAACCTGTAGCATTTGTCTCTTTGTCTGTTTTCGTACCAATACCATGCTGTCATACTTACTATAACTTTGTAGTATTGTTTGAAGCCAGGTAGTATGATGCTTCCATCTTTCTTATTTTTGCACAGTATTGTTTTGGTTACTTGGATTCTATTTTGGTTCCATCTTAATTTTAGAATATTTTCTTCTAATTCCATGAAAAATGTTATTGATACTTTGATAGGAATAATATTGACTATGTAAGTTGTGTTGAGCAGTATTGCCATTTTAATAATATTGATTCTTCCTATGCATTTAGCTTGGAATGTTTTTCCATTTGTTTCTGTTGTCTCTAATTTTTTTCAGAAGTGTTTTTGTAATTCGTGTTGTAGAGATCTTTCACTTCTCTGGTTAGCTGTATTCCTAGGTATTTTACTTTTTGTATCAATTATAACTGAGTTTCATTCTCAATTTGGCTCTCAGTTAGGATGCAATTGATTTCTAGAAATGTTACTGATTTTTGTACAGTAATTTTCTATTCTGGACCTTTGGTAAAGATTTTTATCAGATCTAGAAGCCTTTGGGCAGAGACTATGGAGTTTTCTTTGTGTAAGACTGTACCTCCTACAAAATGAGTTTTTCCCTCTCTTCCTATTATTGATGCCTTTCATATTTTTGAAAGGCATATATTTTGAAACAATTATGACTTCACAGGAAGTTTCAAAGGTATGTACATGGAGGCCTTATGTATGCTTAAACCAGTTTCTCCCAATAGTAAAATCTTCAGTATAATACCACATTACACTTTCAAAACTAGAACATTGACATTGATAGAATCCAGAGGTTTTTAAGATTCAACATTTTTCTTTTGGCTTTTCAAGGCACTTTCTATTTCCATATGAATATTATAATTATCTTGTCAATTTATATTAAAAGGTCTTTTTAGAATTTTGATTAGAATTTAGTTGAATCTAGAGATGAATTTGGAAATAACTGCCATTTTACAATATTGAATATTCCAAACAAGAATCAAAATAGACATCATGATTTTTTTCTTATGTTATTAATTCATCATTGCAATTTTTTTAGCTTTAAGTGCACAAGTCATTTACATCTTTGTTCAGATTTATCCCTAAGCCTTTAATATTTTAGTGGTATTTTAGATTGCACTGTTCTTAGTTTCAACTTTCAGCTGCTGAATTTCACTTCCAGTTCACCCTAGGACTACCATTGGCTGAAACATGGCCTCTTCTAATATATAAATTTCTAATAGATGAACATACAATTGATTTGTGTGTTGATCTCTTACTCTGCCATCTTGCTAACCTCAATTATTATAGAAGCATGTTTTTATATTGACTTTTCTACTTCAACTCTCATGTAGCATTTGACAGAAGATATTTTTACTTCTCCCCATCCAATCTGAATGCATTTTTTCCACTGGACACAATTTTCAGTATAAAGTACAACTATGCCCACACTGGTGCACATGTTGGTCTTAGATTGCAGTATCCTGCATGTAAACACTCAGAACAACTTCCAGCACTTGAATATCCATTCCTCCCTGCACTGCACATACTGGTAGAATTCACGTTGGAATACTACATTTACTATGAACATACACCCTTCATTTGAAACAAGACTAGGATACACAGGAAAGCACATTTATTCAGTAGCATTGACAGACTGAAAGCCATCATTTCAAATTGGAAATAGAACACTTAAATGAGCTACATGGACACTGGATAAAAGAGTATGGGTTGAAATTTGCCTGACAGTAGCCAAAAAGTAAATGGTGTTCAAGGTACATATCAAGAAACTGTAGGAGGGAAATGGGATAATTCACATCTCCACCAATAATTAGATGTAGCCACACTAGCTTGAAGGGATTTCAGGTGAGACATCTAAAATACTAGGTCATAGTGGGGGCTGGAAGATAAAAAATGGATTACTTAATATGAATGACTGTGGGGAAGAGCTTGAAGGAATTGTCCTCTCACTTGATGTGAACCATGAACATTAAACATGGAGAAATGAGGAGTGGTGGCATATCAGTTTGGGATGCATCTTCAGGGGATGGTGAAACAACAACAGCATAGTTTTCTCTACATCCCTTTCATCCTTTGCCCCCAAGCCCAGGGAGTTGCCAGGGAGTTGTCAGGGAGTTGTCAGGGAAGGTACTTTATGATGTCAAAGCCATCCTAGGACTGCCATTGGCTGGGACACTGCCTGTATGATCAAACAAAGCTCAAGGGTGTGGCTTTGCCTGGTCACCAGGAGGGTGTATATAGGAAGGGCAAGAGCTCTGGGACTACCAACTGGCAAGCTTCAATGTAGCTGTGGATATCTGTACCATAAAAGAGCCTAGTATACACATTCTAGAACCAGCCGTAATTATGGAAGATTCAACTTCAAGCACCAACGGAGAGAATAAAAAAAGTTCCTCTGAATCCAACAGGAAAGAAAATAATGAGGTAAGATGGTAAGGATTGGAAAGGAAGGCTAGGGTGAAAGAAAGACACATAGAGAGGGGCGGCTCAAATAGCTGCACAGGAATATTTCAAACACCTGTGGAAATAGGGCAGCAGCTTAAGGCCAGAGCCCACTGCTGCTTACAAGCTGGGTACTTACAGGCATGGGTGGGAGGGACCTATGCACTATGGTTTGCTGACCAGCACGTTATTTATGAGATGTTCTTATAGTCATGTGGTTTGGCCCCTGTTCTGTTGGAATATCATTGTGGTGTTCCTCAGAGCTTTGCCAAGCAAGATGTGATAGTGATGTTTCTTTAGTTGGGCCTTTGTCTGCCCTGTGCTCAGGTGATTAGGCATGATGCTTCTCATGCCCTCAACCCCCATGGAATGTTGCACTTTGACCAAGGCCTGCAAAATAGCAAAGAGCTTATAAAATGGTGCAGCTTGGACTAATGCAGATGACCCTAGCCATGCTCCTCTTCTTCTTCCCCATAGATCCCTAACCTACGATTCCACCTTGTTCTTCTCTGACCCAATCCCCTTTTTCAACCTGCCTTCTTTCTCACAAAGCCCTCTCTGCTATCCACTCTCTACCCTATTTACCCCAAATAATGGCTTTCCGGCCTCCCCCTATGTTCTTAGCAGAAGCAGGAGACAGTGAAAACAGACTCAGCTCCTGTACAAAGTTTAAAGAAGACCAAAAAATCAAAACATTTAACAGTATTAGAATGCTCCTACGAGAAGGATGAGAAAACAAATTCAAATCAACTGGGGAATGACCAATCCAAAGAGAAGTCCACTGATCCAGTCCAAGAGAAGATGGAGGAAGATGTAGAGTCATTTAAAGGATATTCACAGGAGGATGAAGACCTAGAATTCTGCGAAGTATCTTCACTAGAGGATGAAGACCTAGACTTATGCAATGTATCTTCACTAGAGGATGAAGACCTAGACTTATGGGAAGTATCTTCACTAGAGGATGAAGACCGAGATGATTCATCTCAAGGATGCTCAAAGGAGTGTGGGGAGTGTTCGTCACACATGCAGAAACCAAATCAGACAAATCATCACCACTGATGACAATGATTATAATAAAATCAAGTGTGAGAAGCTGATGACTGTGTATATCTCTGCCTGTTTTCTGGTGGTGAGGAGGATGGGAAGGGAGAAGTAGGCATTTGGTAAGGGAGGGGTGTGAGCTTCTGTAGAGTTGGTTGACAGACCCACAGGTTAACAGTTAGCCAGACATTGTAAATAAGGACTAGAAGAGGTCTGATTCTCAGAAAAATTTTTCTTCCTAAAATTTTATCTCACAGAAGAGGAAGAAAAGGACTTGGTGTTTCTTGGAGCATATGAATGTGTAGAAGGGCATATAAAAAGTTCTGTATTGGCTGGATATAGTGGATCAAACCTGTAATCCACTACAGGGAGGCAGAGGCAGTGGGATCACCTGAGGTCAGGAGTTTGAGACCAGCCGGGCCAACATGGCGAAAACTTATCTCTACTTTAAAAAATTACAAAAATTAGCCAGGCGGGTAGCAGGCACCTGTAATACCAACTACTCAGGAGGCTGAGGCAGGAGAATCTCTTGAATCCTGGAGGTGGAAGTTGCAGTGAGCTGAGATCACACTACTGCACTGCAGCCTGGGGGACAGAGCAAGACTCTCTCTCCAAAATAATAATAATAATAGTAATAAATAAAATAAAATAAAAAGATCTGCATTTTGTATAGGTGACAGTGACACTCTTTTCAAAATGAAGACATCAAAATCACCATCTCCAGGCAGTATACCTCATAGTGGTGTGGGTGGGTTGTAACTCACCTAATGCTGTGAGCAACTGAATGAACAAAAGGACCAAAATCCTCAACCTATATAAAGTAAGACAGCAGGCCACAGACACTAAAATGATGATGTCTGGAAGGTGTGGTCCCAATACTCGGGCATTTTTTAAGAAACTCTAGGTGGAGCAGGAGCCTACCAAATGTCGGACACTGGGAGTGGCCATTGTCTGCTGCAGGCAATAAATGAAAGCATAATCTACAGAGAATTTGAACACAATCATACAAGTACAAGTTGATACTTTTATTACCACTTCCATACACCAGTATTTCCATAGAATGTCAGTGACTAAGAATTGCATGTTCTTCACATGTACCACAAAACCTAAAATGCAATTAAAAAAACAAGGAATTCTTCCATTGAAAAAAATCCTGTTTTTATTGGAGGGAATACACTAGAGTGGTTTCGGTATCAAGTGTAGAGGGCTGAGGTGTGTTCCTCGGGTTAATTGCTCAAGACGCACTCCTGTTTATTTACTCATTCACTCTCCTTTATTTCCATGACCCAGTTTTATTCCTCTTGTCTACATTGGCAATCCTTGTAATGCATTGATGTGCATCCTTTTCTCTGTATGAGTGTTAACATATGTCTCATACTGTTTGCGGACATTAGTTTTCAATTTCTGTATCCATCATCAATTCTTGTTTCACTCAGCCCTGTTTTTAAGATTCATCTGTGTATGTCCAATCTGTTCTTCTTTGTAAATGGATATGTCGGGTACATTTTTGTATTTTCTAAATTTTAGGAAGATATTTTGATTTTCAATATTTGTACCCACCTTCTTGCCCATGTTTTAACTTATACCTTAATGTAATATTACATTTTCTTTCAAGAGACTGTACATAGTATCATGAATTTAATTTTGATTTCCACATGTTCAATGTTAGTATGTAGAAGTATGATGGATTTTTTATTTTTATTTTAAAGAAATTTTGTTGTGTATATTTGAGGTTTACAACATACTATGGAATACAGAAACTAAAATTATTACTATGGTCAAGCAGATTAGCATATCTCTCTTCTCAGATTTTTTTTTTTTTTAATTCCGACGGAGTTTCGCTCTTGTTACACAGGCTGGAGAGCAATAGAGCGATCTCGGCTCTCCGCAACCTCCGCCTTCTGGGTTCAGGCAATTCTCCTGCCTCAGCCTCTTGAGTAGCTGCGACTACAGGCATAAGCCACCGCGCCCAGCCTCTTCTCTAATTTTTAAGTGTGTGAAAATAGCAGCAAAAATCTTATTTAACAAAAATTCATAAGAAAATTTCTTTAGCCCCTCTGTACATTAGAAGTTAGACTTGGGGCCGGGCGCGGTGGCTCAAGCCTGTAATCCCAGCACTTTGGGAGGCCGAGGCGGGTGGATCACGAGGTCAACAGATCAAGACCATCCTGGTCAACATGGTGAAACCCCGTCTCTACTAAAAATTACAAAAAATTAGCTGGGCACGGTGGTGCGTGCCTGTAATCCCAGCTACTCAGGAGGCTGAGGCAGCAGAATTGCCTGAACCCAGGGGGCGGAGGTTGCGGTGAGCCGAGATTGCACCATTGCACTCCAGCCTGGGTAACAAGAGCGAAACTCCGTCTCAAAAAAAAAAAAAAAAAAAAAAAAGAAGTTAGACTTGTTCATCTTACATATCTGGCATTTTGCATCCTTCAACCTCCATCTCCTCATTTCCCCTCCCACCTCCAATGTTTCATTCTTTACCTCAGTCTATTTGAGCCCCTAAGTTATACAGTCTACATATGAGACCATTGAATATTTTTATTTCTGTCTGGATTATTTTACTTAATGTGACGTTCTCCGGGTTCATTCATGTTGTGTCAAATGTGAAGATCTCCTCTTCTTTAAGATCAAATAATATATTGTTCTGTATAACTATATGTAACTACACCCCCATACCCCCCCATCACATATTTAAATCCATTCATCCACTGATGGGCATTTAAGTTGTCTCTCTATTTTAGCTATTGTTAATAATGCCACAGTGAATATGAGACTGCAGATATATATATTTTTTTTTAGACAGAGTCTCACACTGTTGCCAAGGCTGGAGTGCAGTGGTGTGATCTAGGCTCACTGCAACCTCTGCCTCCTGGACTCAAGTGATTCTCCAGCCTCAGCCTCCAGAGTAGCTGGGACTACAAGCATGTGCCACCACACCTGGCTAAGTTTTGTATTTTTAGTAGAGACAGGGTTTCAACATATTGGTCAGGCTGGTCTTGAACTCCGGACTTGGTGATCCATCCACCTGGGCCTCCTAATGTGCTGGGATTACAGGTGTGAACCACTGTGACCAGCCAAGAGTGAAGATATCTTTATGAGGCTGTGATTTCATCTCCTCTGGGTATTTATACAGAAGAAGGATTGCTGTGTCATATGGTAGTCACTTTGTTTCTTTGAGATGGAGTTTCACTCTGTCACCCAGGCTGGAGTGCAATGGTGTAATTTAGGCTCACTGCAACCTCCACCTCCCTGGTTCAAGTGATTCTCCTCCATCAGCCTCCTGAGTAGCCGAGACTACAGGCACGTGCCAGCACACATGGCCAATTTTTGTATTTTTACTATAGATGAGTTTTCACTATGTTGGCCAGGCTGGTTGCAAACTCCTGACCTCAAGAGATATGTCTCAGCCTCCCAAAGGGCTGGGATTACAGGCATGAGCCGCCATGCCCAGTGGCCAACTTTTTCATTTCTTTAGTAACCTCCATACTGTTTTACATAATGGTTATACCAATCTACATTTCCACCAACAGTGTACCAGGGTTCTTTCTTCTCCACACCCTCATCAACATTTGCTATTTATTGTCTTTTTGATAACAGCATTCTTAATGAGTGTGAAGTGATGCAGTGGTTTTAATTAGGCATTTTTCTTATAATTAATTATACTGAATGCCTTTTAATATATCTGTAAACATGTCAAAATACTATGGAGAACTACCAGAGTATCTTTACTCAGTCTCCTCCACTGATCTTGCAAAAGTATAGTACAACATCACAACCAGGAAATGGACATTAAATACCAGATGTGGGTGACGGGGGGAAGAAGGCAGCAAACCACCTTGCCATGTATGTACCTATGGAACGATTCTGCCTGATCTGCACATGTCCCCCAGGACCTAAAGCACAATGAAAAAAGAAAAAGCAAAAAGAAAATGGACATTAATACACTCCATCTATTCAGATTTCATCAGTTTTACACGTGTTCATCTGTGTGTGTGTGTGTGTGTGTGTGTGTGTGTTTAGTTATATTCAGTTTTGTAACTGTTTTTTGCTAAGTCATAACATTGTCCTGGATAACATGCAACAATAAACTATACTAAATATCAGTCAACAAAATCCAGTTTTCTTTTCTCTCTCCAAATACTAAAGACCTAGCAGTGATTTACAGAGAAAAATTCCCCTAATATCATCCTTGGAATAAAACAAAATTATTTCAAGTTGTCAGTCCACATGGTAAAAACAAAAAACTACAATGCTTTTTGTCTTACCCTTTGATATGTACAATTGAAGGTATTTCTCATTGCAAACTAACATTTCCAACCAGCATGTGACATGAAAGCATTTTTCATTTCAGGATAGAAATAAAGGATCACATCCTTCAGTCTTAGACATTTCAGAAAGAAAGAGAACTTTAAGGTGAGAGAAGTGGAGTAAGAACAGCAGAAAACAAGCCTCCACAGATCAGCCCCCTCCCAAAGACAGAAATTCCACAACCATTCACACAGAACAAAACACTTCCATAGAAAACAAAAATCAGGTGAACTCTCATAGTACCTGCTTGTATGACTGAAAGAGACACTGACGAGTTAGAAAAAAAAACAGTCTTAAGTCGCTAACACTACCCCTTCCCTACCCTAGGCAGTGGCAGTGTGGTGTAAAGAGCATCTCTGGAAGCCGGAAGAGCGAGAGCACAGCAGTTGTGAGGCACTGAACTCAGTCCTGTCTCTTACGGCAGAAAGGAAATCCAGACCAAACTTAGCTGACTCCCAACTGGGAAGGGAGCATTTAAACCAGCTCAAGCCAGAGGGAAATCGCCCATCCCAGCAATCATAACTTGAGTTCCCACAAGCCTTGCCACCAGGGGCTCATCTGTTCCAGGTTTCTCAGAAAACCTTAAAGGCAGTCTCCGCCATAAGGACTGCAGCTCTAGCACTGAACTGGGCCCAGAGACAGTGGACTGTGGCGGGGTTGTGGAAGGGTGCAGATGACCTACTGAGACACCAGCTGGGGCAGCTGAGGGTGTGCTGGTGTCATCCCTGCCCTAGCCCCAAAG